CACATACAGCACAGCAATGACCTATACACATACAGCACAGCAATGACCTATACACATACAGCACAGCAATGACCTATACACATACAGCAATGACCTATACACATACAGCACAGCAATGAAGTCATAAAATGAACTAGGATCACACTAATCTAGCACGTATCAAAATAATTTTAATCGATCAGAAAGTGTAACGATTAAATCGAGAAATTAATCTTTCATTTCCACAGCCCTACTTTTTATTAAATCGTCACATAGCCAACGTTTCGGGGGCCACGCAAGGTCCCTTCTTCTGGGCGACATAGTCACTATGTCGTCCAGAAGAAGGGACCCTGCGTGGCCTGAAACATTGGTTGTATGTCGCCCAGAAGAAGGGACCCTGCGTGGCCCCGAAACGTTGGCTGTATGACGCATGTGACAATTTTTTAAAAACTGCTTTACTTCTATCTCCACAGGCACAGAAGACACTTCCCTCCTCCCCGTTCTGGACGCATGTGACGATTTAATAAAAATCGCTTTACTTCTCGCACACATCATCGAGCGCCGGTGACTTCTATGATGGACTGTATCTGACACGGCGCCGTCCGTGTTGTCACTTCAAGCGCCGGCCTCTCATCCAAGGTCTGTACGCTGCATGGAGTGCCGGTGATTTCGTATTATCGATTACTTGATGCAGTGAACAGAAAAATCATTAGAAATAAAAAATGGAAATATAGAATGGAGGAGAATTTATCAAAACAGGAGCCGACTGAATCTGGAACAGCTGACCATGGCAACCAATCAGCTTCTCTCCTTAATTCTGAAAGCTTAAGGCCTGGTTCACACCTAGGCGTATTGAATATGCGCGTTTGTCGCGCGGTTCGCGTCGAGCTTTTTTACCGCGATTCACGGTAAAAAAAAAAAGTCGACCGACGAAACGCGCGTTTCCGTGGGCTACTTGGCTGTATCCCAATGGAAACGCGCAACAAAACGGCCCAAAGTAGTACCTGGACCTTTTCAGGCGTGGGCCGTTTTGTAGCGCGTTAGGGACGGGCGGAAATACGCCAAGGGGGGAAAGAGACCATTGAATACAATGGGATATATATTTTTGAGCGTTTTGTTGAGTGTTTTGGAGAGCGTTCGTCGAGCGTTGAACGCGCTACAAAACGTTCAGGTGTGAACGACGGCTTACTGAAAAAACTAAAAAGAGAGAGAAGCTGATTGGTTGCCATGGCCACCTGCTCCAGATTCTGTCTGCTCCAGTTTTGATAAATTCCCCCCAATGAATATGTATACAACGTTCTAGGTGTTCCCTTTATTCCCCGCAGCGCATAGGCTTGCTTTATTTAGCCGGTTATAAAATGGAGCTAGCCTGTAGAGTCGGCTGACCTCAAATGCCCCCTCGGCTGAAGGTTTAGACTTTCGCGCAGCTGGCTCGGCTTTTAAAGCTTTTGTCTGAATAGAAGAGAAAGAACAAGAGCGCCGTGACTTTAAAAACGAGACAGCCGGGCCTGCAAGTGAAGCGTGGGATGATTGGAAAGATGATTAATTAATAAGCTGCTGCTGCCCCCCGAGGAGGAACTTGTGTACTGTTCTTTTTTCTATTCAATCGTCACACCTTCTGAGCTCCCATTAATCTTTCAGCACTACAGATGTGTGAGCCGCCACGAAAATCTGCACCGAGCGCCGGCAGTGAGCCCTTCCCGCGTCTGTGACAATGGAAGAAGGGGCGGAGCTGCGTGCTGGATACTTCACATATGTAACTAAAGTCTGCACCAAGCGCCGGTAGTGAGCCCTTCCCGTGTCTGTGACAATGGAAGAAGGGGCGGAGCTGCGTGCTGGATACTTCACATATGTAACTAAAGTCTGCACCAAGCGCCGGTAGTGAGCCCTTCCCGTGTCTGTGACAATGGAAGAAGGGGCGGAGCTGTGTGCTGGATACTTCACATATGTAACTAAAGTCTGCACCAAGCGCCGGTAGTGAGCCCTTCCCGTGTCTGGGACTATGGAAGAAGGGGCGGAGCTGTGCGCTGGATACTTCACATATGTAACTAAAGTCTGCACCAAGCGCCGGTAGTGAGCCCTTCCCGTGTCTGGGACTATGGAAGAAGGGGCGGAGCTGTGCGCTGGATACTTCACATATGTAACTAAAGTCTGCACCAAGCGCCGGTAGTGAGCCCTTCCCGTGTCTGGGACTATGGAAGAAGGGGCGGAGCTGTGCGCTGGATACTTCACATATGTAACTAAAGTCTGCACCAAGCGCCGGTAGTGAGCCCTTCCCGTGTCTGGGACTATGGAAGAAGGGGCGGAGCTGTGCGCTGGATACTTCACATATGTAACTAAAGTCTGCACCAAGCGCCGGTAGTGAGCCCTTCCCGTGTCTGGGACTATGGAAGAAGGGGCGGAGCTGTGCGCTGGATACTTCACATATGTAACTAAAGTCTGCACCAAGCGCCGGTAGTGAGCCCTTCCCGTGTCTGGGACTATGGAAGAAGGGGCGGAGCTGTGTGCTGGATACTTCACATAATATGTAACTAAAATCTGCACCGAGTGCCGGCAGTGAGCACTTCCTGTGTCTGGGACTATGGAAGAAGGGGCGGAGCGGTGTGCTGGATACTTCACATAATGTGTAACTAAAATCTGCACCGAGCGCCGGCAGTGAGCCCTTCCTGTGTGTGTGACAATGGAAGAAGGGGCGGAGCTGGGTGCTGGATACTTCACATAATATGTAATAAAGTAATAAAAACATCGCCAATTAGGGCCCCTTCACACAGACTACATGTACTGTAAACAATGGTCAGATCTCTGCCCTGGGGAGCCATCAGTGATGTGTACAGCCCATCTGTACAAGTCAAGGACAGGCTGCGTCTGTATACTGGTAAATGATGCTTCTAGCGCACATTGACATACAGGTTCGGCTGTATGTTCCTGGACTCAGACTGTCATTGATTTGTACAGGCGGGGTGTATGCAAGCTCTTATACATGTCTGAATTCACAGCTCTGAAATAAATTGATGAAAAGTGAATAAAAGTGCAAAAATAAAACTGTGG